CCCTAAGCCAGGTGGCTGATTGTTGGGGGGGGGTGAGGCAATCAGGAGTAGCAGGGCCTAGTCCTGGAAAACGGAGGGAGATAGAGCCAAACTCCGGATGGCAGTTGACAACAGCCCAGCCACAGTTCTTACTGTCTCTCACCCAGTTCATTAGTAAGTTATCTTATTCACCTGCAACTGAGCCATTTTTTTTATTTGAAGATTTGCTCCTCTCCCTCGAAACATTCACGGTGCCTCTTCAGATTAACATTTGGTATCCTTCAGTAGTTATAGGTCACAGTGGTTTCTGTCTGTCAGATGGGGATATGGATTCATAAGGGACTGATTCACAAGGACAGTCCAAAAGGATCATATGATAAGGCTAGTTTGTGCTATATAAGGAGTGCATCCACAACTGTTGTTTAAGGAAAATTCAGGTTCAACCCAGTTTTTCCAAGCCCTGAAGAAATGTGATTTTCACGAACACTGATAAACTGCCTGTTTCTTTCAATCAACGTAAAGTTTTTTTCTTGATAATTTTAAAAAAGAACAAGGACATGCAGTGGAGTTAGAAAGTAGATGGCCAGACAAAATTCTTCCCCATCTTATACTTGTGCATTGCAGTTCTGGATGTCAGTATCCTATGCCAAGGCCATATTTATCAATATCCATCCGAGAGAGACTGTTAAATCTATTTCCCCCCATTCATACTATGCTGGAATTTGTTCTCTGTAGGAAGACAAAAAAGAGAAAATGCAAGAATTTCACTGAAAGCAATTGAACTAAACCTGTCACAACACTGAAAAGTTGAATTGGAGCCATTCAGTTTTGCTGTGGCTTGATTTACAGTCTATTTTACACTTACACTGTTGCATAGTGCTAGGGAAAAGGACAATTTTGGAATTTTCTGTAGTTCTTCATAACATACAAACACATACACATATAACACAGAAGCACCATCTGCTGGAGTTCTTTGGAACTGTTTCTATTACATATCAATTTTATCTCTCTTTTTTTAGTCCATGCAGAGGTAATCAGGAACTAAGCTAGTGTATCAATGTGGCAATAAAATGATCTAGTGCTAAACTTGTTTGTTTTAAAAAATAAGAAAACAAAACTTTGGGGTGACTAGGGAAAAAGATTGCAGGATGCTTCCAATGTTCAAAATATCATGCCCATCCAGTCACATATCCCATCCTTTTGGAGAATGAAACTGAGCACATGGGGAAAAGTCCAATCAAATTGTTCCAGCTTGAAAAATAAGCCCCCAGAGGCAGAGAAAAAAAACTCCATGTCAGGAGCAAAAAAAAGAGGGCTCCCTTGATTTGTATTGGTCATATGATTAGTTTTTTTTAAATGTGAATTCATTGATTTTACACCTGCAGCATATCCTGCAATACATCTGTGAAGATTCTCAGTCATCCAGGTGAGGTCATCTGGAAGTTGAGTCATGGCAACTGGACTTCTTTCCTAGAGGATCTGTCCCCAGAAAGATCAGGACCACATGTCAGAAAGACCACTGTTAATAACTGTTGATGACCCACGACAGTGGGTGGGGAAAAACTGCAGTAGTGGGATTTTCACTCACCCCCCAGTCCTTTGTCCATCTAGTGAGCCTATCCAGACCAGGGGGAAGTGAAACCAACATGAAGGACATATATCAGGGATCTCCTACCAACTCTCCTCAGAGTGAAGAAGCTACTTGGTTGAGTAGCAAAACTTTTCAACCTTATAGGAAAGAAATCCAGTTGCCATGAGGTAACTTCCAGACATATCCTGCAATATTTAACCATGTAATTGCTGCATTAAGTTATAGTTCAGTTGTTGGACTAATACATGGAACATTATTTCTACAACACAAAATCTCAAAGGTTTCTTCTATTATTCCTTAGCTACACTGGAAACCTTCAGCCTATACGTACACTCACCCAGGAAGAAACCTGTGGAATTTCTGCTGCATGGAAGCAATTGAATCTCCTCTCCTGCAGATTTTATTGGAGCCTGTACAAGCAATGAAAGAATAATCTTAGTGACAACATTGACCAAGTTGCTAAACTAAATACAGAGTAAACTGGAAAATATTATCTTTTTAAAAAACCACATGAAGATTGGACCCTTCTGTACTTTACATATTTGACTGATCTGGAGCTGCCCCCTCTTGTGCTTATAGGAAAATAAGAAAGAAAGAAAGAAAGAAAGAAAGAAAGAAAGAAAGAAAGAAAGAAGCCCCTCCTTGAGAACTATTTAAAATCGTATCTAGCTAGAATTACTTTTATATATATATATATATAACAAGAATTGCTCTTTTCTAATCTATATATACACACACACACACACACACATATATATACATATACATACATACAGTATATTCTTTCCTAAAATAAACTTGTTTCTACTGATTTTTTTTACACACACACACACACACACACAGTGGTGCCTCGCAGAATGGTCGCTCCGTAGAGTGACAATATATATATATTCTCCATAGAATATATATATATATATATTCTCCGTAGAGTGACGAATATATATATATATATTCTCTCCTTTTGCCGCCTCCAGCTTCCATTTTAGAGCTTAAGATAACAACAAAATCAGTAGAAACAAGCTTATTTTAGAAAAGAAACCCACAAAGGCAATAACATTGAATGTCTTTACTTTAAGGGGACTGGGAGCTTATTCCACAGATTGGGAGGCACCATCAAGAAGGCCTGGTTCTTTGTTGTTGCCCTTTTAAGCTCTCTTGGTGTGGCCACCAGGATTGGTGTTAGCAGCCTGGATTGAGAAGAGTGAGTGAACTAGGCAACTGTTTTCTGAGAGACTTTCCGACAATTATCAAGTTGCTAAATGACTAAAGCAGTGGTTCCCAGCCTTGTGTCCCAGAAGCCTTCACCATTAGCTGCGCTGGCCAACATTTCTGGGAACTGTAGTCCAAAACATCTGGGGACCCAAGACTGGGAAGCGCAACATTAAGGGCTTTATATAGGTAAGTTATAATGAGCACCTTGAATTGAGCATGGAAACCTAGCCATTGCAGGTGAGTCAAGACTGGAGATATGAACGATTCTACCAATCCCAGAAATCAGTCTGGCTGCTGCATTTTGAATTTTGGATCTGCTGAAATTTTGATACTGTCTCCAAGGGAAGCCCTAAGTAGAGGGCATTACAGTAGTTTATTTTTGGACACCACACTTCAAGAAGGATGCTAGAAAATTGGAACAAGTTCAGAGGAAGATGACAAGGAGGATCAGGGGGCTGGAAACCAAGTCTTATGAGGAAAGGCTGAAAGAACTGGGCATGTTTAGCCTTGAAAAAAGAAGGCTGAGGGGTGATATGATAGCTCTTTGCAAATGTTTGAAAGGCTGACATACAGAGGAGGGGCAAGACCTGTTCTCGATCATCCCAGAGTACAGGAAACACAACAATGGGCTCAAGTTAAAGGAAGCCAGATTTCAGTTGAGTATCAGGAAAAATCTCCTAACTGTTAGAGCAGTACGACAGTAGAACCAGTTACCTCGAGAGATGCTGAGTGCTCCATTAAACCGGAGGCATTCAAGAAAAACTTGGATAATCACCTAGCAGATATATTTTGACTGTATTCCTGCGTTGAGCAGGGGGTTGGAATTGATGACCTTGTAGGCCCCTTCCAACTTTACTTTTCTATGATTTCTATTATCTATGATTTCTTAAACAAGTAGGGGCACAACTGGGCAATCAACTTCAGTTGACAAAGGATACTTTTGGCCAATATTTGAGCCTCCACAGAGAGTGCTGAGTCCAGGAGTATCCACAAATGTCAAACCCAGTTGAACCGGCAGTTTATGCCAATTTGTTCATCTGCTGAACAAGTCTTTGGCACTTCTCAGCCTTGCCTCCTCCTGCAATTGCCTACTCAGAGGCAGTGGCCAGAGGAGGCAGGGCAGGAAAGGTGGGGCGCTGCCTCTGAGTGGGGACCAGAGGAGGCAGGGCTGGGAAGTGCTGAACACCTGTTGAGCCATAGGATGAGCTGGCATGAACTGGTCTGACAGTTCTTGGCCATCTCTAGATCCAACCCACGTTTCTCTTGCTCTGAGATTAATTTTTCTCCTTCTATGTCTCCACAGGGATGTTTCCAAATTACTTCCTGAGAAGGAAAATATGGAGCTGCACTCAATCCTGAACTGTTGGTAAAGACGCACCTTTCTTCTTTCTCCAGAACAATGCCAGAAGAATAACAGTGAGTACCACAAGAACAATTACTACAATCAGAATGGAATTGTTTGTCTTTTCTAATCGCAACTCATTGGTTGTGGCGTCTTCAAATGTGATGCAAGAACCACCTGTGAGGAGGAAGAAGAAAATGGGGAATTAATACCTTGGCAAAAATGATATTGATTTTTATAAATTAGACATGTGCAGAGGCCTCTCCAACCCAGTCCATACTGTATCTAACACAGTTCAGGGCCAACCTACTCTCTAAATTTTAAGAGATATTCTGACTCTGAGACAATGATGTTATTTGTGAGTTTCTGCATCTACATAAGGAAAAAAAATTCTTATGAATTAGGAGCGGGGGAATGCAAATGGCTATGATAAGGGAAGTGGGGGTGTTATGCAGCACCATCAAATTTGGGGATGTAGACCTTAAATACTGAGTGTAGTGTGTTGTACTAGGACCTGAATATTCTCAACTGTGTGTACAGTCCCTGTGTATACAGCCACTTCTAAAATAATATATTATGTAGAAGAAGGTTGGCTTCCTAGGCACTCAGTAGCACAAATGTCAACAGAAAGTGGTATTTGGAAATTAATAGCTGGGAAAAGGAAGACTGATCATAATACTCTAATTGTTGTGACCTATCCCCTCAGGTCAGAAGGCATCCAACATGCTACTGAGGAAGAGCGGAGGACAAGTAGAAGTAGCTCCACAGCTAATTAAGTGGTTGGGCCAAAGCCGAAAGGATGCTCAGCTGCGGACATGCATGGAAGTGAAAGGAAAGTCTGATGCTGCAAAGGAAAAAACTGCATAGGAACCTGGAATGTAAGATCTATGAACCTTGGTAAGCTGGATGTGGTCAAACAGGAGATGGCATGAATAAACATTGATATCCTGGGCGTCAGTGAACTAAAATGGATGGGAATGGGTGAATTCAATTCAGACAATAACCATATCTACTATTGTGGGCAAGAATCCCGTAGAAGAAATGGAGTAGCCCTCATAGTCAACAAAAGAGAGGGAAAAGCTGTACTGGGATAAAATCTCAAAAATGATAGAATGATTTCAAGATGAATCCAAGGCAGACCTTTCAACATCACAGTAATGCAAGTTTATGCACCAACTACCGATGCGGAAGAGGCTGAAACTGACCAATTCTATGAAGACTTACACCTTCTAGAACTGATACCAAAGAAAGATGTTCTTCTTATTATAGGAGACCATAATGCTAAAGTAGGCAGTCAAGAAATAAAAGGAACAACAGGGAAGTTTGGTCTTGGAGTTCAAAACGAAGCAGGGCAAAGGCTAATAGAGTTTTGTCAAGAGAACAAGCTGGTCATCACAAACACTCTTTTCCAACAATACAAGAGGCGACTCTACACATGGAAATCACCAGGTGGGCAATACCGAAATCAGATTGATTATGTTCTCTGCAGCCAAAGATGGAGAAGTACTATACAGTCAGCAAAAACAAGACCTGGAGCTGGTTGTGGCTCTGATCATCAACTTCTTATAGCAAAACACAAGCTTAAACTGAAGAAAGTAGGAAATACCATTGGGCTAGTCAGGTACAATATAAACCAAATCCTTTATGAATACACAGTGGAAGTGAAGAACAGATTTAAGGAACTAGATTTGATGGACAGAGTGCCTGAAGAACTATGGATGGAGCTTGTAACATTGTATAGGAGGCAGCAACAAAAACCATCCCAAAGAAAAGGAAATGCAAGAAAGCAAAGTGGCTGTCCAAGGAGGCCTTACAAATAGCAGAGAAGAGAAGGGAAACAAAATGCAAGGGAGACAGGGAAAGTTACAGAAGATTGAATGCTGACTTCCAAAGAATAGCAAGGAAACACAAGAAGGCCTTCTTTAATGACCAGTGCAAAGATATACAGGAAAAGAATAGAAAGGGAAAAACTCACCTCCTCCAGAAGCAATTCATTAGCCAAATTCACCCTGGGCTATATACCAAAACTAGTTTTCAAATACATTCAAGCCAGTGACTCTACCAAACTCCCTAGGCATTATAGTTTTAGACTAAGAAGCAATTTTTGTTGCTATGTCTTTTCATGCTTGATCAATCGAATTATCCATCCAGTCCTATCCAACCTTTGGCTATTCCATGAGCCAGATCTCTCCATGATTTCTGGTCTTGAACAGCTTCTTTCAGTTGCTTTATATTTTGACCTTGTTGTCTTTTACCACTTACTATTCTAAGGACAGCATCTTTCTCCAATGATGTTGATCGCATGACAGGGCCAAAATAACTAAGTCTAAGTTTTGTTATTTTGCTTTCTAATGACATGTCCAGTTTTATGCACTTCAGGACTTCTGTATTCATTATCTCTCGTCCATGGAATGCCCAAGAGCCTCCTCTAACACCATAGCTCAGAAGAATCAATTTTCCTTCTGTCCATCTTCATCATCCAACTTTCACAGCCATATGTAGTTATGGGGAACATGATGGCATGAACTAATCTGCACTTGGTCATCAAGCTGATATTCTTAATTTTCCATATTTGATTCATACTCATCATTGCTATGTGACCTAGCATGGTTCAATATTTTATTTCTTGGATACAATCACCATTTGATTGATGAGTGAACCTTAAAATGATTTATTCCACACATTCACATTCATTCATTCATTCATTCATTCATTCAATAACATACTATACTGTATATACTATACCATTTATTTATATATTTCATTATAGGAAAGCAGAATTATAAGTGTTTCTTGTGATAGCCGACTTGGAATGACAGAAAGACAAAATATTTATTGCACAATCCACAGGTCATTGCAATATTAAAACAGGATTAACACACCAACTTAATATGTCAATAATATATCATACCATAAGTATTTATTGATAAATACACGATAAATATACTAAGTAAATTAATACTGAATCTGGATGAAATTACTATGTACACATGACAAATGTGGACTTACTGCAAAACAAAACAAAACAACCACCACCACTAGAAATCACCTTGAGGTTCATGAAAGCTATTTGTGTTGTTAATAGTACAGCAGTATGCCATTTTGCTGTCAGACGAATCAACCAGGAGAGTACTATTGAGAGAGAATGAGCCGTCTGCATTTGGCACAGCCACAAATTTTGATCTATCGGTCAGGTTGGTATTGTACTTGTCAAACCAATAGAGGTACTTTTCTGGATAACCTCCAGTTGCTGTACATATAAGAGTGTCATTCTGCCTTCTGACTTGAGGGTTAGTATACGTTGCTGAAAAAAATATAAAGGTGTTAATTTTTTAAAATTAACAACTTGGGATAAGGGGTACAGAATGTAAAGGGGCATATGAGGGAAGAAAAAAGGAGGGGGAGGAGAACACAAAGTGTACTGACATCCAATCTATTCATGTTGCAATATCAACTCGACTTTCCACTTTTCTACTACAGTATTTGATTGTCCTCCAGGTTTTAACTTACATTTACATCCTAGTTTTAATCTATGTTATTAAAGTACTATCTGGTGACTCAAGCCATTTATATAATAAATCCCATTGTTCAGTTGCCTTTTATATTGGACAGTCTTTCAACACTTCTGATAAGATATTCATTTCTGCCGATTTCCGTATCTTCTCAATAAGTTCCTCTTGTTTCGGTATCACCAACTTCTTCCTATTCTTGGCATAAAGAATTCTGGCTGCAGTGACTATATATGTAACTACGTAGTTCTTTGTCTTACCTATATTGTCTATATATAATATAATACTCCGTAGAAACAGTTCTGGGGTTAGTGGAACCTTACAAAGCAATATATTTTTGTTAACAGAGTATGTACACCTATCCAAAATTGTTTCGTCACTCTGCAAGTCCACCACATATGGTAAAAACTTCCCTCATGTGCTTCACCCTTCCAACAAACATTTGACACATTGGTATAAATCTTTGATAATTTTTCCGGAGTCATATGCCACCTGTAAAACATCTTATATATATTATCCTTGAAATTAACCGATTTTGTGAGCTTTATATTATTTTGCCATATTTGCAACCATTGATCACTATCAATATTATGTCCTATATTTTGTGCCCACAAAAAACAAAAAAATTACCAAAACAAAATAGAGGTGTTAATTTTAAGTGGGCGAGCTACAAAAAAGCAGAAGAGAAACTATCCTTTTCCTTATGGGGAAAAAGGAGGAAAATAAATGTATAGAGCCTGATGATCCATCCAAATGCCTTTGTACCAGAAACAGAAAGACTAAGTGTGCTGTATTTATCTTGCTCCCACCTTTGCTTTTAAAGACTCAAGGGATATAAAAGTAAAGGTTCCCCTTGACATTTAGTCCAGTCATGTCTGACTTTAGGGGGCGGTGCTCATCCACGTCTCCAAGCCGTAGAGCCCGCATATGTCCGTAGACAGTTTCTGTGGTCACGTGGCCAGCGCGACTAGACACGGAATGCCATTACCTTCCTACTGTGGTGGTACCTATTTATCTACTCACATTTTTACATGCTTTCAAACTGCTAGGTTGGCACTGAACAGAGGGTTGGACTCGATGGCCTTATAGGCCCCTTCCAACTCAATTGTTCTATGATTCTATACCTTGAGTGCCTAGTTTTCTTGATATCCATTATTCAGTACTAAAACTGAAATGTTAAAACTGCCTTTTAAAGCAGTAACAGCTTTTGTCACTGACCTCAACCTGCTTACAATCAAATTTGATATCAATTGCTCTTCTTGATGTCAACTGATTTTTGGTGCAAACTTACCAACAACTTTTAGAAACACATATTTTCTTCCAAAATGATTCTCAGCTTCAAGAAAAAAATAGTAATTTCTTTGGTCCAATATTTGTACTTTGTTAATAATCAGGATGGCGGAGTGATTCAACTTCAGTGAAATTCTTCCATGGTCAGAGGTTAACTTTCTGTTATATGTGTTGAGTTCACTTCTTTCAGGACAGGTGGTAGTATTGGCAAAACAGAATTTCACTGATGCATTTCTAATATCTTTAGTGTACTTGCAGATAATGCTGGCAGTTTTTCCACGTTCTGCAACATTTGATTCACATGAGAAACTAGAAGACACTGAGAGGAAAGAGAAGAAATGTCCCAAGTCACCAGTTATTAAGGAAAATATTATTACAGCCAAGGACAAGTGCATGCATCAATCATGGTAGTCTGTGGGTCTGTCCAGGTGGGCAGAAATATCAGTATATGGATTGATGCTGGTATGGTTTGGTTCAAACCAAATGATGGTGTCCACACATGTTTCTATTTAGATCAATCCATCCTGCTCCTTTAAGAGTTGTCACACACTATACTGGCAAAGTACCAGGGCATGTATTCTTTTAGATATGATTCTGTGTGATCCTAATTAGCTCATTTTGTAGCCTCGTAAATGGTTATCCAAATAGATTTGTGGGTGGCATTATCTGAGGTGACATAATTGATGGATTGTGGTATGAAAAGGGGGGATGGAGAAACCCCTCCTCTATTTTCATCTTTTTGAAAGTATTTCGCTAACTGACACAGCAATACCATGCTAGGTTGATGCATTGCTCTTTCAAGATGCCACTTATTTTAACAAACAAAAAGGAAAACCACTGCAGCTGCTGGGCTCTGCCCACACAAGTCAGCACAGCCCCAGCAGAGCTCTGACTGAGGAGAAAATGGGGGGGGGAGGTTCCCTCCCTTTTGTCTCCCCAGCCTTCACTCCAACGAGCTTGACCCGCAGCCACTGTCCTCCATTCCTGCCTCCTTACTTGTGAGTAAACTAGGCAAACATACACACAAGTAATCCAAAGATTCACAGGAAAATAAACATCTCCAGTGTGAACGGAAGGATTGCTCAAGTGAGAGATAAAATAGATCCAGAGAACTGCTAACTGTTAGAAACATAATTATCATTGTGATTTATAATATTTGAAAACAAAGACAACTTCCTTCAAAATCAGAAAGGCAGGCAAAGTTGATTTTTGAGGATTGGGACTGAATTATTTCACTGTCAGCATAGTGTCTCATTACAGGTTTCACACTTTTTCTTCCTGACCCAGTATACAAGTTACCATTGCACACTGAGATTCAATCTGACCAAGCAAAACAATTAGGGCCAAACACACACACACACCTTAAACTTTCCAAGTAAATAAGTATTTCAGTGTTAAAAAATTGGGGCATTCTCCTACCTCTGAAATTAAAGGAAAAATAAAATAAAGCTCAGAAAATGCTATCTGATGAAATCCACAATTATCCATGAAAAAAGAAAAGCTTACCAGCCTGAATAGAATTTGATGTGTTCAGTAGTAGCAAGACCAGAGGAAAGATGTGGAGGAATGCCATCTGAAAAATGTTAAAATATTGCCGCAGTACCATCCAGGCTGGAAGACTCACAAAGAACTCAAAGTAGAACTCAGGTCACATCCCCGAGAAAGACAGCATTTTTCACCTGCTGACAAACAGTAACATAAGATATTGTTTCTCTGCTTTTGTTGGTGGTATGCATCAGAATCAGATAAACTGTCTAAGCATAACAATCCCCCCTAGACTAATTTAAATACATCCGGGAGACAGATTTTCCTGCAAAGGTGACAGAAGTGAAACTGGACACAACTGAAGTTTCATCCAGGCTTTGGATTGCTGAAAGTATGACAGTCTTAAGTAACTTTTTCAAATATGGGACAGAAGAGGGAAAAGGGGACTGGGATGAATGATTGATAGGTCCAACCTCCAATCCTATGACACATTTTACAAGGGTCTCTGCAATCATTGTGCTCTGGGTGAAGACTGTGACTTTCATAAAGCAGGCTTCTTCTTTCTTTCTGTTCTTTATCAAAAAGCCTTAAACAACTTTTCAGGCATTATATACCCCTAGCCGTGAAACCAAATATCCAGTGTGGTGTAGTGAACAGAGTGACAGATTAGAACTCAGGAGGCCTGGGTTTGAATCACAGAATCATAGAAAAGTGAAGTTGGAAGGGGCCTACAAGGCCATCAAGTCCAGCTCCCTGCTCAACGCAGGAATACAATCAAAGCATATCTCCACTAAATCTCCACTGAGTCACGGAAACTCACGGGGGGGAGAAGAACTGATAAAACCAGTCCTTTAAAATCTCACTTACCTTGAGAGCCCTATTAGGGGCACTATAAATTGGTTCTGACTTGGTGGCACATAACAACAACAACAGACCTGCAACCATTCATAGCCAGCTATGGTCTGGGGACACCTGTATGAAATGTGCCATTTTCATACAAGGGCCAAAAAATTACAGGGAGAGAGATGTGAATCACTCTCTCTATCCACATTTTAAAATTCCTTTACACTGAACGACTAAACCTCTCCTTGTAGCATTTTTCATGTTTGTTCCTTCATGTTTTCTCTCATTTCCTTAGCAACAGTCTACAAGGAACTTTCAGAGGGTAAATCTCTCTCTCTCCTTCTCTCTCTCTGTGGATACTCTACAAATGTAAAGGTTATTCTTACATTTTAATCTCTGGACATATTCTCTGAAAATGGGATCCTGGAGGACAAAAATATGCCTGCCTTCTGTCAACATATAAAACAGTTATTGGTAGTTCTGTTACAAAGGTTTGTAACACAACCTTTCCTCTCAACATATTGGTCTGCAAAGTTGACATGCATTAGCCCATTCAAGTCAAAGAAAAAGAAGGAAGTTTTTAGATACTTCTGTATTTCCCGTTATAGTGAACAGGAAATCTAATCCCTCAGATTTCTGAACCCATGTTGAAGAGGATCAGCTCCAAACTACAGTGGACCCTCGACTTACAGACGGCTCCACTTACAGACTTTTCGAGTTACAGACTGCTCTGGCCGCAAAATTTAGGTTCGACTTGCAGCCAGAGAATCAACCTACAGACCAGGAAAAACCCAAAATGGAACAAAAATGGCAGGTTACGGATTAATTGGTTTTCAATGCATTGTAGGTCAATGGAGCCTCGACCTACAAACTTTTCGACCTGCAGCTACCGTTTCAATACAGATTAATTCCGTAAGTAGAGGGTCCACTGTAGTCTAACGAGAAACAGCTCATTTTCTAAAGAAGCCAACTAACATCCAAAGTGAATGTGACATTCTGTCCATATCCCTCACAGAGTGAAGTCCTAGCTCCAGATCTTCAAAAATGGAACCACCTTTTCCTTATTATGCAAGTAAATTAACTGGTGTTGCATTTTATACCATTGCTATGTAAACTGATTGCACAGAAGAAAACATGTTACTGATAAAAATAACGACAGTAATAATGTGTTCCAAAATGTTACCTCTAGTCTAGAGTAGTAGCATGGCCACTAGATGGGCGTGATGAAAATAAAATAAAATAAATAGTCTAGCGTAATCCATCTGTCTAAAGAACAGAATGGATGCATTTGACAGCTGAACAGGAAGCTTGAATTCCAATCTTATAAATGGTTCTACTACAGTGGTGCCTCACTTGATGAGGGTAATCGCTGTAGAACGAAATTGTCGTCAAGCGAAAGTAAAGAACCCATTGAAATGCATTGAAAACCGGTTCAATGCGTTCCAATGGGCGAAATACCTCAGCATCCAGTGAAGATCCTCCATAGGGTGGCCATTTTCCAGTGCCTGTTAAGCAAAAAAGCCTTCCTAAACACAGGACGGAGCCATTTTGCACAGTTGGTGGCCATTTTGAAACCCGATGATCAGCTGTTTTCTGATTGTCGTAAAGCGAAAAATTGGTTCCCAAAGCAGGGAACTGATCATCATCAAGCGATTTTTTCCTATTAAAACATCATTTTGCGATTGATATAGCAGTCGCAAAATACTCATCGTTAAGGGATTTCCTCATCTAATGAGGTAATAGTCAAGCGGGGCACCACTGTATTTTCTTTTCTACCAAAAGAAAGAGTTCTGCCCCATCTCATAAGCAAAATAAGGTTATCCTATCCTATTTGTTTCTTTCTTTCCCAAACTGGTACAGGGATTTCTGTTTTTAATCCTCCAAGGCCTGGTTTGCAGTCCTATGTATTCAACCATGTTAGTGCAATGTAGCAATTAGTCCTTATGGTGCGACAATGCTTTGATCCTCTCCATGTTAGTATACATATTAAGTTTAGCTGGCTCAGATGAGAGACACTTTGTATGTGTATCTGATGCAAATAAGATATACTTATTGGAGAATGTTCCAAAACATATAGACTTCTTCACATTTGGAACAGAAAGTATCCTGTTTATGAATATAGGTAATTGTGCTTCTATATCCACAATTCAAAATGCCAGCAAATGACCCTATATTGCTACACAATATTGAGCCTGTGTTGCCAGTAGGAAAAAGGATGCCAAGCTTAACATAGCAAAGGATGGCCTGAACACTCATAACACCAGTGTCAATAGTCAAGATGGTCTACAGCAATGGTTCCCAAACTTGGGAGTGCCCAGATGTTCTTAGACTAGAAATTCCAGAAATCCTGGTCAACACAGCTAGTGCTGAATGCTTCTAGGAATTTTAGACCATCTGGGCACACAGGGTTGGGAACCACTGTCTACAGGATACCCTCTTGTGCTCACTGCCATTCACAAAGAGACAGTGAGCAAGGGAAAACCCCAGAATCTGACTCCTTTTTTCATTAGTTAACCACTTCTCATTGTGGGTAGCTCAGTGGCTTAGAACCAGAGGTTGGGAGTATGATTTCCCACTGTGCCTCCTTGAGAAGGGCTGGACTCAATGATCCATGGGGTCCTTTCCAACTCTACAATTCAAAGGGTATTATTATAAACACAAAGCAATTGTCATGGCTGTTTTGGACAGGTCCTCTAGGTATCCTTCTTGAAGTCCTACTATGCCAGCTCATCAAGGCTTGGAGGTAACCCCATGTTCTTGAAGAATACACCAGGGATGTACAAGTTCTGACGATTTATACAAGGCTAGTAAGGATCTGAGCACAGGCTCAATGTCTGTCTTTTGTCTGAGGACCAACCTAAATAGGTTAATCTCCATGAGGATGGTCACCACGGACAAACTAGGCTCAAAAACTGAGCATGGAATAGCTGCAGTGTGCATCGGTGGAAAGACAATTTAAACTGAATAAATCACACATCTTCAAGGTTGTATGATAGAAATGGGTATATGCACAACTAGCTTGTACCTGTATTACTGCCTGATATGGTCTAGCAAAAATATTTCAGGGATTTATTTCCTTTTTTTTTAAGGAAAAGAGGAGAACCAGAGTGGTATGATGACTAAAGCAGCTGCTTTGACCTTGTGCTTTCCAAATATGTTGGACTACAACTCCTAGAAGTCCCCAAGGACCATGGATGACCAAGGCATTGTGGGAGCTATATTCCAAATAAAAAAATCCAGAAGGAATCATATTAGGGAAGCTGGGCTATTCTGCTGCCCAAGGACAAGGAAACACAATACTGAAACCCTAATTTAGCCATGAGGTTCACTGTCCTTGGAATGCTCATTCTCAGCCTGGCCTATCCCACAGAGCTGTTGAATGAATTGTTGTGAGACAGAATAGAGGTGAGGATTGATTCATGTCATTTTGAACTCCTCCAAGGAAGTTGAAAAGATACTTTATGCAATTAGGATACTGACTACATCAGCATTTAGCCTGTTCTTTAGTCCACTGCAGGGACCAGCTGGTTCACTCCTAAAGATGGTGATCAGATGATATGTTTGCTGGATCAAACCAGCCCACCCCCAGAGTAGTCCTACATCCATCCTTCTGTTCCTTACCATGGGCTTTTGCTTTTTTCTTCTTCTTTTTTTTGGTGAAGGTAGGATTGCTCTCTTTTAGTTCATTTCCATTACATGTGATTGATGGAAACAAACCAAAGTGAGTTTCCTCTTTTAATTTGCCAATATAATGAAGAGAGCTATTTCATGCTATTGGCAAATTAAAGACTTCCCCATCTCTGTGGAGGAGCCAAGGAAGTTCAAACAAACTTTTTTATGCTGTGCATCAGAATACCTATGTCATGTTCCTGGGGTTACAACAGCAGAGTCTGATAAGCCAGTCCTATGTCAGGAATTCAGGGTATGCAGAGCCGATATCCAAATACCAAAGCCAACTCACACAACATAGTCCAGGGTCAGAGTCCAAAACCAAGGGTCCAGAGAACAAGGTTCAAGGTTGTCAGGAGCATGGATGCAAGCCAGAGGTTTGACTTGTTGCTTCCACGGATTTTCAGCCCTCTGAGAACTGTTTATATAGTAAAAACAGCCCTTGAAGTGCTAGAAACCTTTTCATCCTGTCAGAACTCAGGGCTAGTTGATCGGATGTTCCTGCGGGCAGCCTTCAAGCGATCCTCTGCCCTTTTTGTCATAAGTCTTCCCCGAAGCCTGGCCCTTAGCCTGTCTACTGGGGGAGGAGAATCTGGAGGTGATTCAGGTGTTTGTATTTCTAATTGCTCAGCATTCTCCTCAGCTACAGTTAACCCTTCAGGTTCCAGATCTTTGGCTGCACTCATGACAACCTAATACACATGCCTAACTTGTAACATACATACTTAACACTTTTTAAACTGATGTCACACATATTTGCTGTTCTAATTTGTTGTTGTTATGTGGTATCAAGTTGCCCTCCTAGACCAGTGATGGCAAACCTATTGCATGCGTGCCACAGCTGGCACACAGAGCCCTCTCTGTGGGCACATGAGCCATAAGTCGCCATAGATAATTACTTACCCGTCCTCTAATCCCAGATTTTGGCACTCCCCTCTGCTGGTGCAGTGGTCCACCAGAGGGGTGCAATGGCAACCATTACCAGTCTAGCCCAACGGAGGATTGGAGGACCAGGAAGTATTTCTTTGTTAAGGAAAATAGGGGGGACATTAACACTTGCAGTGCAGGAGCAGTTGTTTTTTCTAAACTAAAACCTCAGCGTTCGGGTTTTAATTGCAGTATTGGCACTTCGAAATAAATAAGTTGATTTTGTGTTGCAGTTTGGGCACTCAGGCTCAAAAAGGTTCACCATCACTGCCCTAGACTGATGGTGACCCCATTAATGAACAAACTCCAAAATATCCTGGCTCCGACAGCTCTGCTCAGCTCTCACAAACTCAAGCCTTTGTTTTTCTTTAGGGAGCCAATCCAACATATATTTGGTCTTCCTCTTTCCCTATTGCCTCCAACCTTGCCCAGCATGATTGTCTTTTCCAGATAATCTTGTCTTCTCATGTAGGCTATAAACTCCATATCTGTCGGCAAATTGTTGTTAGGATGTTGACAGATTCAATCTCTGTGGCTTGAAACATTTCTATCAGTATCCATTTTACCCTTGGTGATTTATTTCTTCCTAGTGCTTTTTCAGCAGTTTTCACTTCACTTTCTAGAATGACAAGCTCTTCAAAATAGTATTCCACTTCAAAGAAGTCTGTCATCCTTTTGTCTCTTCTGCACAGATCTACGGAATACTATTTCCACTTTTTCTTTATATTCTCCTGGTCAGGTGGTGTGTTTCCCTGTTGGTCTCTCAGCAGTCCTAATCTAGGTTTATTTTTTTTCTTTGTTTTCTTGGATCTTCTAAAAGAAATATCTTGCTTCCCCCCTTTTGATGTTCTCCTCTATGTCTTTGCACTGGTTGTTGTAGCAGTTCTCCTTGTCTCAACATGGTATTCACTATAAGACTACATTCAGGCTCTGACACTATTTCTTTCACTTTTTACTTTTGTTTGTTGTCTGTCCTATGACCCTTCAGATGTTGCTGGACTCTCAGCTTCCATCAGTCCCAGCCAGCACATCCAATAGTAAGGAATAATGAGAACAAATTGCAGCCCTCTGAATGTACGTCAGGTTGTCCATTCCTGAAAACTGATGCTGTTAGGATGAGGCCAGGTAGTAAATATGTAACACTTGCTAGTCATTATTGAATATAACTGTTCCAAAAATCTGGATTACCTTAACCTTCAAGCCTGAACTTGATATAGTCTTTCTAGTTGATACAATTATTTCAGGCAGCAGTGATATATACTATACTAAGACATACTTCTATGGTAACCTTGCACACAATACAGCTGTACACAATGGCTAACACAGAGAGGGAATGAATTCAAAATGTGAAGAAGTGACATCTATTATATTTAATGATTTTGTTTGCCTAAATCACAGCCAGAAATTTTATTTAGCCTGAGAATCTTTATCTACAAGATCTCCCTAGGAATGTATTCTTTTAAAATGGCCTTGTTTTTCTTGAAAAAAAAAAATATAAAGGTTGGGTTTGTTCAACATTTTGTTTACATTTGCAAAGTAAGGGAGGAGAAAACTCTCTCCCTTCATTGTGGTTCAGTATTGATGAGCCCTGCAGCTTAGTGGTTAAACTGTAGTACTGGAGACAAGTCTCTGCTCATGATCTGAGTTTGATCCCAGTGAATTCAGGTAGCCAGCTCAAGATTGACTCAGCCTTTCATCCTTCCAAGATTGGTAAAATGAGTCCCTGGCTCATGGGGGGGGGGGATGGGGGCAACGTTTGCATAATTATGAGATCAGCGAAATATTAATTTTAATCTAAGAATATGTCCAAAAATAGCACTTTTACTGATATTTGACAAGGAACAATGGACGTTGACAAAGAAATAATTGATTACAAATTTAGTAACAGTGGCTAAATTAACAATACAGTAGCAAAGAACAGGAAGGTTAAGTGCAATCTCCAACTAAATAAATGGTATAAAGAAGTGTGGAATATGCCTATTCATGATAAATTTACATGTGAAATGAAAAGGAATATTAATTACGAATGGGTTTGGGGATATAAGGTGAGAATGTATTGATTTTGTATTAACAAAAGATAAGGGTTGTGTACATTCGCAAGAGTCAATGTACTTTTGGAAAGGGAAATGGGCTTCATAAAAGGAACAGAGTATCTGTCCCAGTGAAGGGGAGCACAATAAGTGTATGCTCCATAAAAGGAACAGAGTATCTGTCTCAGTGAAGGGGAGCACAATAAGTGTATAAGTAGATGTTGTTGTTGCTGCTGCTGTCTTATGTTTATAATATGCACACACACACACACACACACATATAATTAAAGTAAAAAGACAGAGAGAAGAGGAAAATTGAAAATGAGATGGACTGATAAAAAGGAAGCCACAGGAGAAAATAAGATGGACTGATAAAAAGGAAGCCACAGGTTTGACTTTCCAAGAGCTGAGCAGGGCAGTTACAGACATGAGGACATCTTAGAGACTGCTTGTTCATAAGGGTCCCCATCGGTTGGAAGTGACATGACAGCACATTAACAGCAACAATTTTAAAAGGACCACTACATTTAAATAGAAAATCTTCTGCCTGGGGCCAAATAAGTTCTTGAATGTTCCCCTGGCAAGAAACTTCCTTTTTATTCAATTCAATGCCTCAGTTCATTATTAACTTACATCTCCAACTCCTGCACAGTACTTTGGCACCAAATCTCATGTCAACAGGATTACTACTCAAGGAAATGTGTTCAGGGCAATTGCCTTAAGGAGTCAGTAATCTTTCAATGTGAATACAGTATATTTATTGCATTTATAGTTCCCTTTTCTAAAGAGTTCAAGGTGGCAAAGAGGACTCATTCCCAGCTTGGTGTGTAAGAATTTGTTGCTTTAATACTAATACTAATACTAATACTAATACTAATACTAATACTAATAATAATAATAGTTTGAGAGCACTCTTTACATTATCGGTTCTAGCTGGCAGCCTTCTAAACAGGACGCTGTCGAGTGGCAAAGCTCCGTGCAGAAAGTCCTACGTGCACAAAGTGACGCGCTCCCGCTTTTCCGTTGCCGTTCCCGCTAATGGGGCCGTTCAGAAACTACTCCTCAGTTGGGGGCTCCTGTGTCCTGTGCAAAGGCGGGACGCCTCAGGGGCTCCTCTTCCCTCCCCACCTGAGGACGCAACCCTTTCTCTCCTTGGGCACGCTCGCGGCCCCCACGCAGAGACCTCTCCTCCCGCTCCGCCGCCAACTACTTAGTCGCGTGCAGGTTTACCCTCAAGAACCCCGTGCACACCCCGCTGGGTGTTCGTGTGTGTGTGTGTGCCCACAGGAGACCATTTCCGCTCCAGGCGCTGCTTCAGCAGCGGGCGGGAAACTAGCCCACCGGAGACCATTTCCGCTCCAGGCGCTGCTTCCCACCAGGTGAAAAGAGCTGGCGTTTTCCTTCGCGCCCTTCCTCTTGCCCTTCCGAGCTGCCTCTTGAGGGGCTCGCCTTTCCCCCCCTCGAGGGGGCAAAAGAGACCTTTGCAGACCCTTGGCCCTTCCCCGGAGCCCCAACGATGGGAATGCCCTACCTGGACGACGGGCTCCCTCCCGCAGGTCGGGGTTTCTTTAGCTGGGGAGAGCTGCGCTTGTAGAGCAGAAGCGTCGGTGCCCATTCAACAAAACCAATCCGGACGACAGCGCATTTAAAATGAAAGTTAAATTCCAGTTTGCGTAAAAAAACAGCCATTGGTTTCACTTTCTTGTCTTTATTTTCTTTGGCGCAGGATCAAGTTTCAAGTGGAGTTCAAATTCCAGGCACAAACTTTGGTCCTCAAAGCAGGACCTCCTAGAAGGTGCTTCCTTTAAATAGCAGCAGCATTCCTTCCCACCAAAAGAAAGTGTGCCAGCATGGCAGCATCAGAGGAAGCAGCGGCATTTCCCAGATTTGGCAATTTGCCCAACAAATACAAGCACAAGGACAACTGATGTTTATTTAGGACAAATGAGGCAAGAGTAAGTTTGTAATAGTATGAAGTGTATCATGCTCAGTTGGAAATACTAAAGAGACAAGGAGGAGGGAGGGGAAAACAATGTGCTTTGTACCATTCAGCATTTTAAAAAAAAGAATATTAGGAATGTAGCACGGGCAGATGCTCCAAGGACCCTCTAGTCCAACCCTCTGCAGGAACCCCTGCTGCCAGAGCATCCCCTGACGGATGGCTACCTAACCTCTGTTTAAAAAAATTCTAATAAAATAGAGCTCACCAGTCCATAAGGCAGGGCACTCCACTGCCAGAGAACTCTCATCATTAGGAAGTTCTAATTTCTTGTAATTTGAATCTATTGGCTCATTAGTTTGCCTTCGAGAAGAGCAGAAAACAAGGATTCTCAGTCTCCCAGAGAACTGTTCTTTCAATATTTGATGGTGGCTACTGCATTATCTTTCAGGTTTCTTTTTTCCTGGCTAAACATGCCCACCTATCTCAATTGTTCCTCACTGGGTTCGTTTCCGGACCCTTGACCATCCTGATCAACTTCCTCTGTACATCATACAGTTCATCAACATCCTTTTTAAACTGACACAATACTCCAAGTGTGGACTGACCAAAACAGAATAAAATGATATACTGTACTGAGGCATTGACTAAGGCATTCAAGCATCTACATGCAATTAGAAGACTTGGTCATGTTTCTGATTGTAAAAGAATTTCCACAGGTTCCAGGTTAGGAATCACCTTTTTTTTAAAATTGAAATGCCTGAATAGGACTCATAATGTTCCCTCACCCCACCAACCACTTTTTAAAAAATTCCTACTGCAACATGTAGTTGATTCATGTTTATCGTGTGGTCTACTAAAGCTCTAAATCCTAGCACACTGAGATATGATTGGCAAGCCTGGTGTCACTCACCCTGTCCTTGTACCTCCTGCCTAAATGTAGAACTTTGCATTTATCCCTATTGACATTGATTTTGGTTGCTCTGGCCCAGTTCTCCAGTCTCAAATCCTGACTGTCTTTGGAGTGATTACGTACCTGCATCAGTTTTGTATCATCTCTAAATGAGAGGAGCATCCTTCCACAACTTCATTCAAGTCACTTATAAATGACTCTGGAACAACACCAATAAAATTTACCCACCTCCAGTTTTCTGGGATCTCACCTCTTCTCCATGGATTCTCAAATATAGCAGATGGAGACTCTCAGTTACAGCTGCTAGTTTATTTCTTTCACTCCCTTGATGCAATTCATCTGGTCCTGGAGGTTATAGTTCCTTTAAAGTTACTAGTAGAGATGGGCACAAATGTTGCTTTGAAGGTTCATGCTGAATCGTAAGTGTGGCACCACAGGTGCTGCATGTTCCATTCCCCCACTACCCTAAGCTGGATTCCCCCACTCACCAGCCAGCGCATGCTCTCCTCCTCCTCCTTTTTGACTGTTCAGCCAGTCTCTGGCAGGAGCACAGTCTTCCCTACCACACCTCCTTGGCTGATCATCCACTCAGACAAGGAGGCGGACAGGCAAAACCATGCTCCAGAAGAGGAGGAAGAGAGGAGTCTTATAGGCCTCTTTCAACTCAGTTATTCTGAATCTATGAAATTCCACATCCTTTCCTACTTTTTATATGTTCTGGAACCCAGAAAGTTGGTCTCAGCGTGGAAAGGTTCTATATGTGAAAAAAAAAAGTTTAATGTATTGTGGCACCAGGCAGGTGTTTCTGTACGAAACTGTATCTGAAACCACATTTTAAAATGATATTTAATTAATTAATTGATTGATTTGATTTGATTTGTATTCCGCCCATTTGGTCTGGTTGACCACTCTGGGCAGCTTCCAATAAATATTTAAAATAAAACATAAAAATTACAGACAATCAGAGCACATCCAATAATAAGCAAATAAGAAAAGGAAAGGACAAGGAAAAAAAAAGTTAAGTATTGACAGGAGGGAAGGCCTGAATGTATAACCATGTTTTTAGTTGACTCTTGAAAGTGCACAGCGTGGGGGCCGCACGAATCGCCGGAGGAAGGTTATTCCAGAGGCAAGGAGCCACCGCCGAGAAGGCCCAGTTTCGTGTCTTTTCCTTCCGGGCCTCCCTCGGCATTAGGCTCCTCAGCCTCACCTCCTGGCTTGCACGAGTGACATGGGCAGAACTTGGTGGGAGTAGGCGTTCCGCCAAGTATCAAGGCCCTAAACCGTTTAGGGCTTTATACGTGAGCATCAACACTTTGAAGTCAGAGCGGAAATGGATGGGCAGCCAGTGCAGCATGGCCAGAGTAGGAGAGATATGTTGATATGTTAAGAGAAAAGATTTTTATTATGTTAGGACTGGATATCAAATTACATGCTGAGTTTGTTCAATGGTTATTATCAGTTGTTGGAGACAAATACAAAGACTATTATTAAGTGTGGTACAAAACATTTGAACTAAGTAATGTGGGAATTAGAGCTACAGGGTCTCATGCGCAAGAATCATTCCATTAGAAAGACCTGAAAATTAAATCAAACTAAGGTTCTATTGGAAAGTATTTACATTCAGAGTTAAGTACAGATAGTAAAAACAGAGAGGGTAAAGAGAAAGCACTGGAAAACATGTTCAAAGTGGTGAAAATAACAAAGAACTACGGTACCCTGCAAACTTATATGATTGCTTGTACAATCAGGAACTGTGTTAGGACAGCAGCATGCTTTTGGACTTTGCAACGTGTGATGATAATGTCATTTAATTATTGTAAGAACACCTGTGAGTTACTCAAGCAGATTTTCTCAGATAGCCAAGTAGCCAAGGGCATCGCCTTAGAAATACAAAAGCCATGTGTACTGTTTCTTTCAATTCTACAACTAGAGATGGTATAGTCGTATTCATATCTCTAGGGATACAAATATGAATATCACAGACACAGGTGGTAGGAAAGTCCAGTCCCACCCCCAGAATCAGCCTGTCCACTTATGGATCATCGTGCCAATCGCAGAAATAGGCCAACTGGTGCTTCCCCACCTCTCCTCACTGATGACCACTCAGCAGCTGAGTGGGAAACTTGCCATCCCCCCTCCTGGCCAGATTGGTCAGCAGTGCAGGGAGGGAGGGAGGGAAGCATCAGGCAGGCTAATTCCACAATTGGTGTGATGGGACTGAGGCTGGCTGCATGCACCGTGCCGTGACCCATAACTGGATGGGCCAATTTAGGGAGGCAAGACTGGGCTTCCCTGCCACCTGTGTCTAAAATATTAATACAGTATTTGTATCCCCAGGGACATGAATACAAATATTCCATATCTGCCTAGAACAATAAAATCTCTCTCTCTTTTTTTGCATGTTTATCTAAAGCAATGGGAGGGTTGAACCTCTTGAACACTTACATACAGCCATACGTGAAGCACCAAGAAGCTCCACCAGCATCTTTTTCTCCGAGGTACAAATATCAAGTAAAGTATTAAATGCACTGCATCTTCAGTTTATATGATCATTTTGCTAGTTGTCTGTTTCCTTAGATTCCATGTAATACAGGTACCCTTATTCCTTCATGGCCTCTATCTCCATATCAGATGAGAAGCAAAGACAGAGAACCAAAGCCATCTTCTCCTGAGCAATGAGGACAGTAGAATATTTCCTGTCAAATACCGAGAAACATTTTCACATTGTTTGGGGATGGATTTTTTTGTACAAAACTACCATGGTTCCCCTTTTGTTTCATGGCCATCTATGAATTAGAAGGACTGAATGTGTTCCTTGTATCTTTTTGAATAATGACCTACAACTTTACAAGTTCTCCTATGTGAAGAAAAACAATGTGATACCAGAAAAGAAGAAGAGGAACGAAGGAACGAAGGAGAGACAGCAAAGGAAATCCAGGTTACTCTCCCTTTTTTTGTTGTTGTGATAAAAGAAAATTGAGGTATTTATAATAAGTCAAAATTCTGGCATTCTGGAAGAAGGGAACGATAGGCCACCTGAATACACTATAGTTAGAAAACTCTTGAAAGGGTTGCTGTAAATCAGAATTAACTTGGTAAGTGCTCATTATTATTATCACCATGACTTTTAGTAATTCTGGATCATTCAAAATTGGTGAGGAGAAGAAATTTTTTCTCCCCAGGAGGGCCACAATTTCTGATTGTTAACCTACCAACATAGATGGATCTCTAATATATCATGTTCACCATCTGTCAGGGAAGACACAGTATGTATGCAGAAAGATAAATACCTTGAGTCTCTGCTGTTTAAAAAGAAGACAAAGTTATGCAATGCAGTGAAGGAAATACATAATAGGCTTTGCTATGAAGGAAATAATAGGCTCTTGGCTAGCAGGAACCAATGTGTTAACTTAAAGTGTGATTCCCAGTCAGACAACACATTTTCTGGTCTTTGTATAGTTCTTCTCCTGTATCTTTGCTGTTGTTTTTCCATAAGTGAGAGATTTAGAATCCCATGCTTGGCAACACTGTTCTGTTTCAATTTCACAATGAGGAAATACTGATCAACATGCATTTCTGGGAAGTGCCTTCTTAATCTCTGAAAGAAAGTACAGTTGCTTGTTTTAGTATTTCTTCAGCTGATTTTGCATTATATCCTAGTTAACACAGAAACACAGGGATCTGCTTTATACTAAGTCAGACCTCTGTTTTATCTAGGGCCCTTTACCAGTTTCCTCATTGCTCTCCACTTTAAGAAGGATGACGAGAAATGAACAAGTTCTGAGGAGAACAAGGAAGATCAGGAAACCAAGCCCTATAAGAAAGACTGAAAGGACTGGGCATGTTTTAAGAAAAGAAGACTGAGTGGAGAAATGAAACTTGAAAGGTTGTCATAGAGAGGAGGGGCAGGATCTTTTCTTGATTACTGTATGCCAGAGTACAGGACATATTATAATGGGCTCAGGCTACAGGAAGCCAGATTTAGGCTGAATATCAGGAAAAACTTATTAACAGTTAGAGAAGTATGACAACAGAACCAATTAC